CCTATTCTACTATCAAGTTCCTCGGTGCCCTAAACCCTAAACCCTCAACGACTATAAGTACCCCTCAGAGTAACTCAACCCTTAAAGGAACCCTTCAAGGACCAAAACCCTATAACCCTAATAACCCTAAAGCTCAAAACCCTCAACGTTAAAGGTTACCTACTCTACGAAGCTTCTGTGGCCTCCAGGTACGGGAGGTGCAGGAAGAGCATCTCGTGGAGCGTGGCACCAAGCATCCTTGGATTAAAACCCGAACTTGGGGTTTAGGGTTTGGGGTTTAGGGCCCCAAACAAAGGGTTCCTTTAAAGGGTTCTATGAGGGTTCCAGTAAAAGGGCTCTACAAGGGTTTAGGGCTTAGGCGTTTAGAGTTTCGGGTGTTGCCTGGAAACCCATTGACCTACCGTTCTCAGGACCTATATATGGAAATCATAACAGAATGAAATCTAAAAAGCAAGGCTTTGTAGGCCTCAGGTAGGGGTTGCAGGGGTTCCGGATTTGGGGTTTCAACCGTTTTTGTCTAGGGCGATGGGTTTAGGGTTCCATAGGTTTCTGTCGGATAGAACATGGGGGCTGCACAAGGTGTGTATGATTCTCCATGTGTCCGTAATTATAGTTTTCTACGACTTCTGCGATTCCTATTTCCCTAAACCCTAAACCCTACACCTTGGAACCCTAAACGTGTACTTGCCCCAAGACAAGGACCTCAAAGGAAGATTTACAGTGGCAGCTCCCAGAATTAGAACCAAAACAGCTCCGGGTAAGACCTCAGGGCTTTCAAAAGGGTTTAGGGGTTACCCATGGGCCCCCAAGTAGTTCCTTTTTATGGTCTTTCTTTAGAACCCTGTAACGCAATCCCCAAAAAGGAACTACTTAGGGGCCTATGGGTAGCCCCCCTAGACCCTACACCGATCCTGACCACAAAAGGTGCAAGGAGAGCTTTGAAAGCCTCGACTCGGGCCAACCCATATATATATATATATGTATGTATGTATGTATGTACATGTATGTATGTATTTATATATATATATATAGATATAGATATAGATATAGATAGAAGCCCTAAACCCGAAACAGGGTACGTAGGTCTTTTCGGCTACAGGTAAACCCCAGAACTCCCAACTCGGGACCCCGGACCCCACACTGGACTTCCCGGTAGCTCTGCAACAGACTAAGAGGATCCTGGGGGTTTAGGGTTGGGAGTTTTAGGGTTGGGGGTTTAGGGTTGGGGGGTTTGGGGTTTAGGGTTTAGGGTCGGGGGTTTAGGATTGGGGGTTTTGGGTTTAGGGTTTAGGGATACTTGCCCAAAGCATAGTACTACTTAGGCCCTCCATCTACCCTTTATTAGACCCAAAATGCCCAAAATATTGGACCATATACCCCAATTTTTTGAAGGCACAGGAGGGTCCTGGTAATTCTTAATATAGAAACCCAACAGTCTACTTTATAGGTGCTTAGAACGCTTTGGGAGAGGAGCCAGATGTCCGTGGCATGGAGATAGTCCAGTGGAAGCTGCAGCTGTGGGTAGGGCTCGATGAAGCACTGCTCCTGATTTAAAGAGTTTAGGGTTTACCTAGACCCCAAACAACCTACCTTTTTCAGGACGTAGATAAGGAATTCATAATAAGGAACCCTAAAAACTCGCGCCCTGCTGAAATTATGACAGGACAAGTTCTTGGCAGCATCCAATCAACAGACAGATGTGGAGCCCGACAACCTGAGGTCATCAGATATGGCAAGCCCCCCGAACCACTCAAGAACGACCAAGCCCTACCTCCCGCACATGGCATCAGACGTACCCGCACATCTAACCTTTTGCACCGTCCACCGGAAACCCCTTGCTTCTCGAATCTTTACCGTACCATAAACTGACATAACCTGCTTTTTGTAGGTTCGGATTATCAGCACTAGATATGGAATTTTAGAGCGACCCGACAAAACCCAGGCTCTGGTAGGTGTCCCTTGCACCCTGAACTCTAAACCCTTACATAGAGTATCCTTGGTTGTAAATCCTATGACCCGTACAGTAACCCTCATACCCTCTATGGTAAATCTTGTAGTAACCCTTATAGCTCCACTGTACTTTAAACCCTAAACCCCTAGGCCCTAAAGTACCTATATAGGGATTACATTAAGGCCAGAGTATATACTATATGGGCACATGGACCCTTAGCGATCTCTAAACCCTCAAGCCCTCAATGGCTCCTGGTGTAGTTCTGGAGCAGCATACCGGGGATCCCCCTGAGGTGGAGCAGCCGACGACTACTTCGAGGAACAAGGGAAGGGGACGTAGTAAGTGGGGCCATATATAGGGCTTCGGGTTTAGGGGCGTAGCAAGTAGCGTTATGAGCAGGCTTTGGGTTTATAATAGTAAGTAGGGCCAAGTAGGGTTATATTTACTTTAACACCCGAACTGGGGCACTTACAACCGTACTTCCGAAGTCCCACGATCCTCCAAGTTCGACAACAGCCCTTGGGTTCGGAGGTAAGGAAGCCAGAGGAACGAGGGCTTTAGGGTTTAGGGGTGTTTAAGCTTCTGGCTCGGGGCACGGGGCTCCAGAAAGTAAGGGTTTGGGACAGAAGGCTCGGGGGCTGTGGAATGATATTCTTCAAAAGCAGTAATGTAGGGACCTTGAATAGGATTTTGGGGGTTCCTTACTAATTATAACTATGGTAGAACATACCCCCACACCCTGTTCTAATTATTCAGGCCCTTATATAACCGTAGCAGCATGCGCTGGCAATGTCCGAACAAAACAAAAAAAACAACGATCACGACTGTTTATGTTCGTTGCTGGTGTCGCTGCTGGTCAAGGCGGTAACCTCGTCCGTGCCTGCGTTTTCAGGGAGCTTTGCAGCTGAAGGCTTCGTGTATGCATCCGCGAAATCCCTGATCCGAAGTCCCAACGCGACCCTGAAGAGCTTCAGCACTGACACCATTTTTCATCCTTCCTTCTCGCACTCTTGGCTTCTGAGGCTTTTAGGCCGGCCGCGACTGCAAAAGAGCCATCGGAGGGGCTCCGAAAACCCCCAAGGCAATCTCAACTTTAGGGCTTAGGGTTTAGTGATTGGGGTTCAGGGTTACAGGAGACCCCACTCCGAAAGCTCTTCGAGACCACAGTGAGACTCCCTTGAAACCTCAGGGCGCTCACTCCTATGCGGAACGGTGGAGGAAACCATCCAGAAGTGCCCGGCCCAGTGGTGCAGAGGTGGTCTCGCTGCCCTCGGCGTTTGCGACGTCTCCTTGCAGCGGGCGGACTGGGGCGAAGGAGCCTGGAGCCTGGAGGCTTCGAAGTTCGAGTTTGGGGTTTGCCGCGTCAATCTGGGTTTAGGGATCAGAGGCGATGTACTACACTGCGAACAGGAAAGGCCCAAAGGCTCAGCACCGCCCGAGAGCCACACATCCCATCGGAATATACTAAACAACACTATATAGCTACATACTAGACGTTAAAAAACCCTACACCCTAAGCCCTAAACCGTGAACCCTAGACTTTAAGCTGTAGGATGTGCCATGGAGCGAGACCACTCACCAAGCATGTCAGATTTCAGGAGGATTGCAGTGCAAAGGCCGACGAGGGTCCTCAGAATGAAAACCATGCGGGATTTAGCCTAAAGGACTCTGTAGGGTTTAGGGTTTTGGGTTTAGGGGTTTAGGGGTTTAGGGTTTAGGGTTTTAGGGTGTAGGGTTTAGGGTTTTGGGTTTAAGGTTTGAGGGCTTTAAGGCTTAGGGTGTAGGGTTTAGGGTTTGGGCTTTCGATGTTTAAGGGCTTCTGTCTTCTGTCTGCTCTTATGCCCTGGAAGCCCTGGAATTCGCGAGGAAGGCGAAGATTCGGCGAAGATTGACCTTTTCTTTCTGAATCGTAACAGCTCAAGTGGCTGGGCTTCTGATGTTCGTTCTGGTCTTCAAATGGTTGGTTCGTCTTCAAAAGCTTGTTGTTCTTAGCCTGTTCAACAACTGGTAACTGGCATGTGTCTTCTTGGCAATCTTCTACGACATGTGGCAATACGACTGGCATTCATGTTTCCATGCTTGGTGCTGTCTTTGCTGAGCTTCTAGTAAATGCGGCTGCTGTCACTATCGCTACAAGGACCACGACGATGCCGGCGGCAACAACGGTGGCGACTGCTGCTAGCTGCTAGCTGCTAGTCGTCCTGCATCTACTCCTGCTCCTGCTTGTGCTCCTGCTCCTACTCACACTCATACTCCTACTCCTACTCTCGCTCCTACTCTTTTCCATGTCCTGCGACGACCCTACTCAGACTCCGACACCGACTCCTCCAACTCTACATGGCTCCCGCACTCTCTTTCTGCGAGAGGCTTTATGTCGAACACAGACATGAAACTCGCACTCCACACCGTCCCCTTCGAAACGGACGGACGAACCGCCGACCTCGACATGAGAGAGAACCTGTCACCACGATTCCACAAAATCTTACTGCGCCGTAAAATCTCAAATAAATCAAAGAAGCAACTGGATAAAGCCCACCGCAAGAAGACAAGGTATAGAATGCAGCCACGAGTCATGACAAAGCAGCAAACAAATCCGGCCGAACAGCACGGCAAATCCCTTTCCTTAGTTCCCACACCACGGACCCGTGGCACGAAGGAGTCCTTCTCCTCGTCCCCTCTGCCTGAGTTCCGGCTTCGGCATGCCGTATGGCATCAAAGGTGAGACACTCAGAAACAGGAGTCAAGATCGAACGCAAGAAAATCAAGGGAAAATATGAGAATAACCATTGTGTTGAAAAATGGGACCTCTTACCCCAAACGCTGGCCACCCCAACCAAATGCACGAAAAGATGTAGGGTTTATCGCCTGGGTCCTCTGCAAGCTCTTCGCACCGTCCCAGTGTTTGCGCATCGCTCGGTGACCCAATTTGGCGCGGCATGGCACGTACCGAAATTAGAACTCGGTGTTGGGGTCAAATGGACTTTGTCCGGCTTTGGGGGTTGTTAGACTAAGATGTCGGGGTTCAGGTTGCATTGCCCGCTGTAAACAGTGACGGCGTGTAAGGCTGCGACGGACGCAACACCATATAATGCCCTGCAACCCTGACCGACGCTCTTGCTAGGCGTTCAAGCACAATACTCCGAAACTCAAAGTAGCGTGCCCGTGGGACTTTCATAAAACTATATTTCAACTCGACTGTCAATTTTTTGGGAGTATGATGCGAAAAGCAAAGCAACAAGCGAGACTGTAGCCAATGCACATGGAAAATGTAAAAATTCTGTGCTCGCTCCTCCTGTTTCCATAGCATCAAGAAATCATCGCGAGGCCGCGAGACCCTGCTTCTGCGCTTTACGTCGATCGGCTACCGCCGCAGCAGGTACATCAGCTCAGGTGTCCCCGCCAACAACCAAGCTCGGGGGCATTTGCGATGCGAAAAGTGACCTGACGGGATGTCGGTCTTCCGAGTCTTCTGTGAACCCGGCTTTCGTCTCAATATGACGTTGTCGGTTTGATCTGCGCGTTAGTCACAGGGCTCGCAAGTCAGGGTCTTTAATACAAATTTGGTAGACGCGCAAGAATCAAGCTCCAAACATCGGGGTGTACCGCGCTTCAGCGTTCGATTGCTCTTGTTGCTGCTGCTGCTCCTACT